AACTGTGGCTGACTCTGAGAAGAATGGGAATCCCAGAACACTTGATTGTGATATGCGAAACTTATACTTAAACCAGGAGGCAGCTGTCAGAACAGAGCAAGGTTCAAAATCAGGAAGGGTGTGCATCAAGGATGTGTCCTATCTCCCTATCTTTTCAATCCATATGTGGAACAGATTATCCAGGAGATTGGGCTCTATGAGGAGAAGTGTGGAGTCAGGATTGACATAATCCTGCTTGCTGAAACTAAGGAGGACCTGAAGCGCTTGCTGCAGAGGGTCAAGGACTACAGCCTTCAATATGGATTAAGGCTCAACGTCAAGAAAACAAAGGTTCTCACCAATGAGCCAACTGGCAGCATTATGATAGATGGTGAAGAGATTGAGATTGTTGACAGCTTCAGTTTGCTTGGCTCTACAATCAATACTCTTGGTACCAGCAGCCAGGAAATTAAAAGACAAATCGCACTGGGAAAGTCTGCTGTCAGAGACTTCACCAAGGTACTGGGGAGCAATGATGTCAGTCTGGAGACTAAGGTGTGCCTGATACAGACCATGGTCTTTGTCATTACTTGGTATGCATCAGAGAGCTGGACAATGACTAGGGATGATAGAAGGAGAGTTGATGCCTTTGAGCTGTGGTGCTGGAAAATAGTACTGAATACACCACGGACTGCTAGGAGAACAAACAAATTCGTCCTGGAGAGGGTGAAGCCAGGCTGCTCCTTGGAGGCAAGGATTCTGAAGCTTTGTCTGACATACTTTGTCCATGTTGCAAGGTGGGATCAGTCCTTGGAGAGGGACGTCATGTTTGGGAGGGTGGTGGGACAGCGCACGAGAGGAAGAACCTCGATGAGATGGATCGATTCAGTGACTGGGGTCATGGGGGTAGGTGTCTCGGAGATAGTGAGATTGGCAGGGGATAGAGCAGGATTTAGGGCTGTTGTACAGTCTCTATGAGTCACAAGCAACTCACCGCACATAACAACAAACAACAATATTATCTATATAGCTGCTTACTCATTATACAGGAAAACGGAATAGTTTGATATCGAGCCAAGAAAGTCTAAGACAGAAAACCTGCAGAAGATACCCTTTAGCTCTACGCAGAAAAGAACATCTATAACCTATATAAAACTGAGGACTGGATAAAGAATGTAAGAGTAGCTTGACTATTCCTGGGAGAGCAGAAGATGTAAGAGCAAGTTATCTTAGATGGAGAAATGGTTAAATGCATCTGAAGTGAGTAAAAGAGGGTTCCAAGTTGAGTCAATCACAGGAGAAAAAGCCAAGAGCAACACAGTAGACTGCATGCTTCAAGAACTACAAACACTTTTCAAACTGGGGGGGGAGCGGGGAGAGGACGACACACGACAAGAAACTATATATGCCAAGGTGAAGCTTATACTTTAAGAACTATATGTCATTTTATGTATATACTTGTCTATATGCTACGAGATAAATTTGAAATTATTTATATATTGTTGTTAGCTGCTGTCGAGTTGAGTACAACTCATACCAACCCTATGAACAACAGATCTGAACTCTCTTATTCTGTGTCATCCTCACACTTCCTAACACACTAGAGCCAAGTGCAGCAGCCACTATGTCAATCCACCTAGCTGAGTGTCTTCGTGTCCTTCACTGACCCTCTGCCTTTCCAAGTTTGAAGTCCCCCGCCAAGGAACAGCTTTTCCTAGCAACGTGCCCAATGTTTATGAGGTCAAGTGTTATCATCTTTGCCTCGAAGGTACTCTGGCTGCACTTTTTTTTTTTTTTTTGGAGTTCATGGGATATTCAGTACTCTTCTCCAACACCACAGCCCAAAAGCATCAAGTCTTCTTCATTATACACCTCTCAGGTGCACAGCAAATAATTGGAAATCCCACAGCCTCAATTAGACACATTTTTACTTCTCAAACTGACAGAACTGCGCCTCGGGAATTTGGAGCGGTCCTTGACCGAAGACTTCCCCAGTGTAGTATGCCTCCTGATTTCCTGACCACTGGTAGGAAAGGGGTGTTAATTGCAGATCCAAGGAAGATGAAGTTCTTGACAGTTTTCAATCTTTTTGTCTTCTATCATGATGTTGTCTATAGGTCCAGTGGAAGAAATTTTTGTTTCCTTGACGCTGGGATGCAATCCATATTGAAGTCTTTGATTTCTGCAACAAGTACATCAAGGCCTCTTCACTTTTGGCCTCTTCACTTTCAGCAAGCAGAGCTGTGTCATCGGCATAAGGCAGGTTATTGTTGAGTCTTCCTCTGATCTTGATGACAAATTCTTCATAGAGTGAGTCCAGTTTCTGGAATAATTTTCTCAGCATACAGACTGAATAGATATGGAGAGAAAATACAACCTTTTCACACTTCTTTCTTAATTTTAAATCAGGTGGCATTGCATTGTGCTCTTGTTCCCTTGTTTCTTGGTCTAAGTAAAAGATTAGAAGAGGTCCTATTTGTTCCTATTCCCAAGAAAAGTTATCCAACAGAATGTAGAAACTATTTTAACAATATTATTAATAAGACATGCAAGCAAAATACTGCTGAAGATCACTAAAAAAGGGCTAGAACAGTACACAGTGAAATAAGTGGCATACATACCAACTATAATTGGCTGACCTTTTATAGTTGGTTGTGCTAAGGCATGAATACTCCCTGATGTTATTGTTCACTTTATAAACCTGGCTACTATTAGGCTAGAAGTTTGGCCACAAGGATGACCTGTGATTTAGACTCAAAAGGTTACTAAAAAGAAACTAAAACATAAGCTCCCTGGTGCTCTGTCCAGGACCTGCTACTGTGATGTCTTTCACTGAGGTCAACAGATGAAGTAGTTCTTCTGATGTCACGGAGGCTGAATTTCAAGTGGTCCTTTAGACATTAGGATTCATTGTTTCTAAGTGTCTTTGATTTTCTTTGTTCTTGACAGGGAAAAGTCAATAGTTTCACCATAAATTGCTGCTCACAAGCTTTTAAGACCCCAGCCACTACTCACCAAAGTACAAAGCAGAACATAATTGATACTGAAGGCTACAGTCCTTGATCTTCACCAGTAAATGCTTCAAGTCTTGTTTTTGCAAATTTTACCATCTGCATATCACAGGTTACTAATGAGCCTTCCTGTACTCCTGATAAGTTCTTCATCATGTTGTCCAGCTACTCAAGTTATCTGCCAGCATACAGATTGTAAGCAAGTATGAAGACCACAACTTTGACTTATACCGTTATTGCTTTTAAGCCATTCTTTTGTTAATTTCAAATGACTGACTTGATAAACATTCAGGTTCCACATAAGCACATTAAATTGTTCGGGAATTCCCATTCTTCATAATGCAGTTCATAATCCATGAGTCACTGTCAAGTCCCTCTGCACAGTCACTGAAACACATGTGGACACCTTCCTGCTATCCTCTGCTTTCTCTCAAGATCTGACATCAGCAATGATATCTTTATTTCCATGACTTATAAACCCAGGCTAAACTTCTCTCAGCTGATCAACTACTGCAACCATTTTCAAATAATCTTTCACAAATTTTACTTATATGTGATATGGAATGATAGTTTGATTATTTCCATATTCTGTCAGGTCACCTTTCTCTGTAACAGCCACAAATATGGTGCTCCTCTGATCAGTGGGCCAGGCTGTGGGGGATGGTTCTCCTCCAATCAGTGAGTCAGGCTGCTATGGGTGGTTCTGCTGCTGTGGATGGTTCTACAATCAGTGAGCCAGGCAGCTGTGGATGGTTCTCCAATCAGTAGGCCAGGTAGCTTTAGTCCAAATGTATTGTCGTAGATAAGTGAGCACAGCTTTCGTTTGCGGCAACCCTGCCAATTGGTATTCTGCCAATCCCTAGAGCCTCATTTTTCAACAACAACTTCAGTACAAGTTAGACATCTTTATTCGATACTACAGATTCAATATCACACATTAGTCCCTCAAATGGCTGAGTGCCAATAAATTCTTTTTTGGTACAGTGACTCGATATTCTTTCAATCTTTTGATGTTCCCATACAACATTTTGTATTAAGTTTATAAAGTCTCTCTCACTGGCCAGGTTTTTCAATGTTTTAGAAATAAGCTGCCAAGTCCTTCCCATTGTGTGAGCTCTGCTGAAGGCTACCCACTGTGTGCAAACCTGCTTGTGCTGAGATGCCAACGCCATCACGTCCAGAGACACTCAAGTCATCACAGTAGAGCAGACTGATAAATGCTGAAAATTAGGTAAGCCCTTTAATCAAAAGAAAAAGGCTGTTAGAGTTGACTGGAATTGTTGTTGATTGCCTTCATGTCAAGCACAACTCACAGCAACTCTATGAACAAAAGTCCTAAAGACCCTCTACAACTATCCATACTTCTCAAAGCTCAGTTTCTGGAGGCAAGTTATTTAGGAGGTGGATGCCACTCCTGCTTACCCAAATAAATGTTCTTTACAAGAGGCACACTCTATAAACACCTAAAAACACTGATCAGCTAAAAGAAAAAGGATAAAGTATAATTTCATTTTCTTAAGTCAGCATAACTATATTTTCAGGCAAAATACACTTCAAGGCAAAAACAAAATAAATTCTCTGAAATAGAGACACTGAATAAGGTTAAAAGGATCAACTATGGTAGACAAAACAATGTTCAATGTTTGCATCTAATTAACATAGTTAAAAATGTGTGATATAAACATTTATTGAAAGAAAAACTAGACAAATCTACCACAATAAGGGCTAAGAGTCATAAAGGCAAACAAGAAAACTTATATCACTATTGACATAAAGCATATTAAAGCAGTTGCTCAATGGTGGAAGTGAAGCAATAGTAAATAACAGTAACAGGAAAAAAATTGAACAAAAAATAGAGCTTCAAATACACTGATTATAACATCTCACTACAAAGGAAAAATTAAATACCACATTTGCTGAAAAAGTCTACTTTGAATGTGCACACACTCTCTCTCTTTCCCTCTCTATATAAAGATACACTAGTGTTGTATAAGGGTGTGTTTTTCTCACCAGCATCACTGTTAACTTCATAATCCTTCCAAGGTTATCAACGTAGTAGACGCTGTCTTGATACCATGGGTCACAGTGCAGGTAATTATACATTCCAAAAGCATGCATGTGTTCCAGGGTATACTGATCATCTCGAAGTTTCACTTCTGCCACAGCTGAAATATAAGAAAAACATGAAGAGTTTGAGAATAAAATTCTACAGGTGTAAAGAAATCACAGAAAGCACACAAAAGCCTTCAGTGCACTTACTCTGTAAGTCATTAAGCAATAATTTCTGGGTCCCTGTAGGCTCTAAGGTGCGTCTGATTCAGGCCATAGTCTTTCTAATCACTTGCTACACATCTGAGAGCTGTACAATGAATAAGGATGACAGAAGAATTGACTGACACCATTGAGCTGCGGTGTTGGAGAAGAGCACCGAACATCCCATGGACAGTCAAGAGAACAAACAGATATGTCTTGGAGAGGGTGCTGCCAGAGTGCTCTTCAGAGGCAAGATGGATGAGGCTTTGCCTCACATACTTTGAGCATGCATGCAGCTAAAAGGGACTATTTCTTGGAGAAGGATGTGATGCTGGGAAGGGTGAAGGGTCAGCGAAGGAGAGGAAGACCCTCAAGCAGGTGGACTGACATGGTGACTGCTGCAATGGGCTCTGTGTGTCAGAAGTGTGAGGATGGCACAGGATAGAGCAAGGTCCAGATCTTTAGTTCACAGGGTCTCTATGAGTGGTACTCGACTCAATGGCACCCAACAACAACAACAGCAGGCACTGGGAGGGGATAAACTGTAAGGAAAACTGATACAGTCTTATCCTTGTAAATTTAAAATCCAGTGGTCATTCGGTACAGTGTGTCTCATGCTTCCTCATTTCTGTTAACTATCTCTTCCTTTTAATTCTGAATTGAACAGAAAAATTCTAAAAATTAAATACTGTCTTTCTTCAGGGGAAAAATGAAGTCTACTTTACAAAATGTTTTTTGGTTTTTTAAGAAAAATCACCCTTTTTTTGTTTGTTTTTTAAAGTTTTATTATTTTCCATATGTGTACTGACTGGTACAGAAGAAGAATGACCCTTCTTCTCCAGCAGGGCATCAGGTGGAATCAAACAGCGTGCCTCTGGGATTGCAGTGTAGATTGTTGCCAATGTTTTTTTATACTTCTAAAAAGAATTTTACCGTTACCATTCATTCATTCTTCCCACATACCAAGAAACAGAGGACATAGTTTATTATCTCACTGCAGTAATGGAAATAAAACTAAATCTAAATGATGACATTTACAATATTATATCACCTTTGTCAAGTTGTTGCTGTTGTGGTGGTGGTGGTGAACCACTGAGTCGAAATCAACTCAGAGCTGTCCCAGAGGCAGAGATGGTAAATTACACAGAAAGAAATTGTGCATCTTTCTCTCCTGGAGCAAGGAGTGGATTAGAACTGTGTACCTTTTGGTTGGCAGTGCAATTCTCTATCACTAAACAATCAGAGCTCCCTACATTTGTAAAGTATCCTTGTACTTTTTCCTCCCACGGGAAAAAATATTTAATTTTATAGCTAAAATATGACCAGGATGTTCCTTGGAGGCAAGGACTCTGAAGCCCTGACTGACATACTTTGGGCATGTTTCCAGGAGGGACCAGTCCTTTGAGAGGGGTATTATGCTTGCGAGGGTAGAGGGACAGCACAACAGAGGAAGACACTCCATGAGACGGATTGACTCAGTAACTGGAGTAATTGGGGTAGATGTGTCAGAGACAATAAGATTGGCTCAGGACAGAGGAGGGTTCAGAGCTGTTGTACATAGATAGGATCTTTATGAGTCGCAAGTGACTTGACTGCACATAACAGCAGCATAGCTAAAATAGAAAAAGGACTCCTACTTACAGAAAAATGCTCTTTCCACAATACCACATTGCTGTCCTAACATTTAAACTTGTCAAATATGTGATCCTTGCCTTTTATGTTTCCTGCGTTACCATTCATAAAGTAACCATTACAACTCAGAAATGCCATGAAACTTCCTACCCTAATAGGAAATTCTTTCATGCCACGTAGATAGATGTACAAGATGATCAAACTGATTACAGTTCATAAAATAAGGTCCCAGGAACTGAGGGCACACCAACTGCAACGTTTCAACAAAGGGAGACCATCCTGGACATGCTCACTAGTCTGTATCAATAAATATGGAAGACAATTTATCTGACCGACTGAATAGAAGAAATTTATTATCTGATCCCATTCCCAGAAAACAGAATCATAAATACGTAATTTAAAATTGTGGTTATGTGCTACAAAGAAAAACTATGAGAACATATAACTTAGGGAACTTATCTGCTTTGAGACATGTTGTTGTTGTTAAGTGTCATCAAGTTGTAGACGACTCATTGCAACCCTCTGAACAAAAGACCTGAATATTTGTATAACTTTCATTGTTTCTCCAAGTTCAGAGTTTCCGGAGGCAAGCTATTTCGGAAGTGGAAGCCACTCCTGCTTCCAAGCTTGTTTTAATCAGGGAACTCCACCAAACACTGTCCACCATGGGTAACCATTAACACATTTGATACATCAGTGTTACAGTGTTTAGCATCATAGAAACCACAAGTTACCTCTGTATGGCAAATGGACAGACCAGCAATGATAAGTATTTTAAATGCTCCTACTTTTTAGATTGTTTTTAACTAGAGTATAAAATGGAATTTTAGCACCTTCAGACACCAAGTCACATGGAATCGTGCATTACCTGTATGACACAATCTGAGTCTGGCCACAGGGTTCTTTTAATTTATTCTTTTCCCTCCTTGTCACAGCCAGCTATCTAAGAGACTCTGCCTTTGACCAAAAGAATCAAGTTCTCATGTAAACGACAATATTTTGGGCAGACATCAAATAAATTTTGTACAAAATTTATAAACTTAAAGTTTTAAAATTAAGACATATTAAATTCACAAAATTTCAGCCAGGTACGACCTATACAAACACCCCTACCTATTCCAGGCAAAAGGAACAGCAGATAAAAGCAGGAGGAAAAGTCTATGTTCAAGGAATCAAACCCCAAAATAGAGGCACTACTTTCAGGTAGATCACTATTCAGAAGGAACCTCCTGGACAGGATAGAACTATCCCGCAGGGTTTCCAGGCTGTACATAAGGGTGGAAACACACTGACATGTCTTTTCCATGCAGAGCAGTTGGTGGGTTCATACATCCAAGTGCTTTAACTATCACACTAGCATGGCTCCAAAAACACTGCCAGTCTGGCTGAAGTAAAGTGAACAAGGAAAGGCTGTAGGAAAATAAAGCTACTGAGGGGAGCAGGAGTTGAATCATGAAAAAAACTATTTGTCTTTGCAATAAACTTAATGTGTTCAGAACCCACTTAAGAGTTTTAAGGAGGAGATTAAAATTCAGATTTAAATGTATTCTAGAATTCTTATGATACAACATGCAGACAGACTAAAACAGAGAAGAAGAAAGATCCATTAGGAATTTGCAGTGCTAGGTGAAGAAGGGTAACTTAAGTCTGGAAATATTTCAGAGGTAAAATTGTTTCAAATTTATGGAAGATTACCTGGAAACTGAGGAGACTGTCATTATACAACTCCAAAAAGTATTTTATAATGAACAGTGTACACATTTCACAAAAATCAGGCAAAAAAACAATGATCAATTCTTGGTTGTCTAGCACCACTGTGTGGAGGAAATTATGCACTGCAAAAAGTGTACAAAGTAACAACACTAAGCAGTAGTATCTGGACATAGATACAATAAATCTATTTTCTTCAAATTCCTGCCAAAGAATCCTGGGCAATCCTAAATCAGCAAGAGGTTTCTTGGACTTGTAAGTGAATAAATAAATCTGAAAACATAATTAGGAAACTGTGATATACTACAGCATGGTTTGCTGCAGTCCCAATAAGATAATGTATAAAGTTAACAGGACTCAGAAGTCTACATATAGTGCTTTGCAAGCTTACTGTTCCGAAACAGCTCAGTAAGGGAATAAAAAATGCTGTCTTTATGGCCTCAAATAAGAGAAGAGCAGCCATAATTGTGTGTGTATATATCTCCCCAAAATGGGGAGACTTTGTCTACTGCAGGGAGGTTTGGTCACATAGTGTGTAAAGGAGCTGTGCTTCTAACCCAAAAGTGGTGACTTTCTGGTGGTTCAAATGCACCAACCACTCTGAGGGACAAATACGAGTAATAGCCTCCTGCTAAGTTTTACCGTCTCAGAAACTCAATAGGTCATACAGTGCCAGGATCTCTCCAAAATGCTACAGAGCAAGGACATTAGTTTAAAGACTAAGGTGCACTTAATCTTGTTGCTGTGTTTTGACTGTAGAGCACGACTCATAGTGACCCTATGAACAAAAGGCCTTTCTCATGCTGTTTAGGAAGTGGATGCCATTCCTGTTTCCAAGCACATAGTCTTATCCACAGTATTTTTAAATGCTTCACAAGCATCACAAAGTAGGACAATGAATAAAAATGAGGAAAAATCAATGCCTTTGAATTGTGATGTTGGCAAAAGAGTATTAACTGTACCATGGACTGACCATACAAACCTGCCTCGAAGTAAACATAACCACCCTCTAACCAGGGTACCTCAGAGACAAGGCTGGTGATGTTCTGCTCAAACAACAGCTTCGTGGTCTATGCATAGTTTTCATATGAGCACAATTAAGTGTTTTGGGATTCTTACTCTTCTTAAAGTTATCCATATTTTTTTCCAGATCAAATACATTTGCATAATTAATAAAACATAAGTAAACAAACTTCTGTTATTCTCTGCTTTCAGTCAAAATTGACTTGACATCAGCAACGCTATCTTTTGTGCTATGGCCTCTTCTGAATCCATATTGGATTTCTGGTAGTCCCTGTCAATGTATTGCTATAGTTGGTTTATTGTTTGTTTTTTTTAAATAATCATCAACAAGATTTTACTTGCATGTGATATGATTAACAATTTCCATATTTAATTGGATCACCTTTTTTGAAAATGGGAATACAGATTTTTTTTTCCTGTCAGTTGGCCAGGTAGCTACCTTGGAGAGTTCCTGGCACAGGAAGCACTAGGGAGCACTTCCAGGACTACATCTATTTATTGAAACACTTCAGCTGGCATTTCATCAGTTCCTAAGGTCTTACTTTTT